CATAGAAAATATAGTACTAACGTAGAATGAAATGTCCCTAATATTGTCACTAAACCGCGAAACAGCGCCACGTAACGTTTTGGAAGCTTACTACTACTTAGCTCCTAATGAGTAGGCAACACTTTATACTTTGTGAACTGATTACAGCGCCATCTATCGTATGGAAACGACTTCTCACTTATATCCTCTATATTATATTATTTTAAAAGTAAACCCTTATACAAATAGGAATAGTCAAGTGTCAATACTTTTGAGAACAGATTATTTAGTTAAACAGAAAATGTAGCGAAAAACTAATATTCAGTACTTTTCTAATTCACTTCTGCTTTGATAACGAAACTAGAGGTTTCATAAACGTCAGTGTTATTGTGATGTGTATTTGTTTTTCCAGTGCGTAACCAGACTTATACATGTAGATGTATGTCTCTGGCATCTCACTATTAGGCAAAAGTTTTCAGTATTGACACTTGACTGTCCCTCTCGGTACAAGGGTTTATTTTTGTTTTTTTTTTCTTCAAACTATGGCAAAATATCCAAATTATAACATTTATAATGCCAAAAATAAATACAGACAATTTCTTATTTATTATTTTATTATACTATTTTTCAAATTTTGACATTTGCCAAAATATACTTAGTAAATGGTTTCGATAAGGAAATAAAACATTTTTTAATAATTTTAAGTTTATTTTGTATCTACAAGAAATCCTAATTGATTTATACAGAATGTTATGCATGTTATATGAAAATTTAACTGTATATATTTCAGACTTAGAATTATTTCAAACTATAATGCAACATTGTATTGTATAAAGATAAACATTAGAACAAAGGAGTATTGTCAAGTTGCCAAGGACTTCTAAGAAACTTAATTGTTTCTCATCAGCTTTTGCTGACTAAAAACTAACAAACTTATAAAAAGGCCTGGTAATAAAGCAATATCACCTTAGTTAGTCGTTGCATCGCCATATACACTCTAATTCATTGTCGCGTTGCCACACAACTTTGTGTCATATTAAAATAAGTAATTAAACTTAAAAAATCGAAGTTCAAAGTAAAAACTCCCAGATTGCAAAAGATAGTGAAATAAACAAATTATTTGTAATAAAAAAAATAAAGTTTTTTAAAAAAGTTAAAAGTGATCCAAGCGATTTAACATGCATATACTATTAAAACAATTTCTTGTTATGTATTTAATTGTAGGTAAAAACGACAACGATTTAATTCATTTGCTTCATAAACTTGATAAGTTGGTAAGTAAGCTGTAAAAATATAAAAATTATGCATGAACTGTTATAATAATCTCACGGAGATAGGTATACACCTAACCGAATATTTGTACAATATTGGGTTAAATTCAATAGTTCATATAGTTTGGAACTTTCAAACCTTAATATTAACAGTATATTTTCTATGTCTCAAACTGAATAAAGAAACCAATTCACCACCATTAAAAATTTTGTAAGCATCTAAGTATCAAAGGTTTTATAAAATATTAGTTGGAGTTTATCATCATACACATAATTATTTTTATCTATATTTAACTTAAATAATATGTAATTTCAAACATGCACATTTTATGTGGACTGTTTCTAATCGATTAATACAGGTAACATGAGTATGAGTGTTCCACATAATGTTGGTAAAGATATAGGTTTGGTTTTTAAT